ATAAAAAAACAGTATTTAACTCATTGATAACATCTTAGCTAATACATAGTGTTGATGTTGGTGGATTTTTTAACCCCTTTCGAAGTATTTTATACTCCGAGGAATAATGAAAAAATTAAATGTATTCAGAAAACAAAAACCAATTGAAAATTAAATATATAAACTAAAAATAAAGTTCTTCTTAAGCCGTAATTAATAATAAACTAAAATATATTCTATATAAATTTTATGTAAATGAAAACAAAAATAAACACTAATATTAATATTGCATGAAAATGTTATCTGTTTGGAAGTCCGAACCGGCAGCTACTTGGTTGGATCTGGAAACATCAGCGTAGTCGGTTGGACATGTTGAAAAGGAATTCGAACACACTGATAACAAAAAATAACTGGTTGACTTGACACACAATAGAAATTTAAACCTGAACACTGAAAGGAACTGAAGGTACTGATTGGAAGTAACTGAATGAATGAATTGAACCGAATGAACGAAAACCACAGAATGAATTGACTCGAATCAACAACTATTGCCTGCATCGGCCTTTTTATGGGTCGGAATTGCCCGATTGCATATATTTTGAAACGTGTTATCCCAGTAGAAAATCAAACCTTTTGCAGGTCCGACAACCTATACAGGTGCGGCGCAAACATATTCCCCCGACTAAAAGGTTAACTCGAACCACTCCATCGTGGCCCGGAAAAACCTCTTCAACTTTTCCCAACCACCAATGGAGCAGACGCGCATTCTCTTGTTTTACAATTACCAAATCACCCTTTTTAATAGGATTAGTGATTGTATTCTATTTCTGTCGGACCTGTAGCTCGGTGAGATATTCCACATTCCATCGCTTCCAGTAAGAAGTGACAATATGATCTAGCAACTTTTTTCTTTTAGTCAAATTCAAGTTTTCAAAGTCAACTGGCAAATCTGACAGAGGCTCTTGCATTAAGAAGTGCGCAGGCGTAAGAGGCTGAAGATCCGATGGGTCATTGCTCAGCCAACATAACAATCTTGAATTTAGTAAGGCTTCGATTTGATTGAGGACGGTATTAAACTATTCGTAGGATAAAATTTGCAACCCTATAACTTTAAACAAATGGGTCTTCACCGATTCAATATTCGCCTCCCACATACCCCCAAAATGTGGGCCAAACGGTGGATTAAATTTCCATTCAATGTCATGTAAAACCAATAATTCATTGAAACGCTTTTTATACTCTTCGGAATTTAGGAGGAGGAATAAGGAATCAAGAGTATTTTTGGCTCCTATAAGATTGGTTCCACAATCGGAGTAAGTACATTTAATAGGACCATGCCGGGCTAGAAATCGTTTTAAGCAATCTAAAAATGTATCGCTTGTTAAATCTGAAGCTAATTCGAGATGTATCGCCTTAGTGGCTAAACAGATGAACAAGCATATATAAGCCTTGTATGTTTGAACGCCTCTGTGACGACTTATGGAGATATTGAAGGGGCCTGCATAATCAACGCCGACATTTAGGAAACCTCTACTGGCTTTTATGCGCGGTACTGGTAAGTCGCCCATAAATGGCAAAATGGGTTTCGGATTCTGTCGAAAACAAGTTATGCACTTGTGAAGATGATTATGAATTATTGCACGAGCCGACAAGATCTAATATTTTTGCCTCAATAAAGATAATACTAAGTTTGATCCAGTATGTAAATTATTAATATGGTAGTAATCTATGAGACAATTTACTACTTGGTCTTTTTTGACAAAAGAAGTGGATTGTTATTAGTTGTTAATAATAATCTACGTTTAACACGTAAACAATTATTAGAATCCAAAACTAAATTTAGTCGGCAAAACTTCTTTGAACAAGACTTTCCGTTCGTTAATAGTTTGAATCTTTCGGGAAAATGATGTTCTTGGACTAATCGAATACTAATTACCTCGGCCTTTTCAAATCTGAAGTTAAAAGTCGGTTTAGATTTGTTATAATTTTACAAAACTTCAATATATAAGCAAAAATTCTTACAAGTTTGTTCCAATTAGAATTTTTTTGCGTTAATTCATTTAAAGGATTGATCGGTGGTATGACACTCTTTACTATTAGAACGTTAGCTTTTCTTTCTTGATCAATATCTCCGGAAGGTTAAACCGCTTTTGCGGGTCAAGTTGATATAGAACCATTTAACCAATCCGGCCCAAACAACCAATTCTTATGTTGGAAAAATTTCTTAGGTTGTAGACCTCGGGAAACACAATCGGCTGCATTCTGATTAGAAGGAACGTGAAGCCATTGTGCATTAAGAATGAGATCCCGTATTTTTGTTACCCTACTGGTTCCTGATAACCAGTGGAGGACAATCATAGAATCGGAAAAACAGTAAATGGAATCAAAATCTATACTATGTTGGTTATTCGTTAAAATAAAATTCAGCAGTTTTGACAGTAAATGACAAGCACAAAATTCAAGCCTGGCTAAAGTTTGATTTTTATTCGGTGTTACCCGTGATTTTGAAATCAATAAGAAATTCGGACTCCCAAGAGATTTATTATAAACTACTGCTCCATACGATTGTTCTGAGATATCTGCAAAACCAAATAATGAACATTTGTTTTTTTTTTGAAGTTTCTAAATAACGCAGAATCTGATAGTTATTAAGATGCTCTAATTCGGTGTATACGGCTAACCATGACGTAATAATAAATGATGGTAACTCCTCAGCCCAATTGATTTTTAATGTCCAATTTTTTTTCAATAATATTTTTATCTTAACAACTATAGGAGTAAGGAAACCTAGAGGATCCTAGATTCGCGCTATTACCGAAAGAAGTTGCCTCTTAGTTCATTTTCTCCACGTAAGCTTTATCTCGAATGAAAAATTATCTGATAAGGGATTTCATTTTAATCCCAATACCTTTGTAGAAGATTCTATATCGAAATCCGATTTAGAGAAATATTTATTTTGTATATCAGAATTAGGAAAAAGTTTACGTAGATTAGAGAAATTTATTACCCACTTTTTTAATTCAAGGCCATCAGATGATAATATAGTCCTTGCAAATGGTTTTAGCGCTATCCATAGAGTTGATACTTGTAACTACATCATCAATATAGACATCGTTCTCAAGTATTCTAGAAATAAATTGAGAATATTTGAAACATTCGTCTCGGAAAAGTTGTTTGATGGTTCTGATAGCTTGAAAAGGAGATGACGATAGACCATATGTTACCGTATTTAATTCATAAATGCCAATGGGTGCATCGGGAAACGGTCTCCATTAGATTTTTTGATATTTTCTATCTTGTTTACGAACCCAAATATTACGATACATTTGTTTGATATCACCTGTTAATGCTATAGGCCCGAAACGAAAATTTAGAAGAATTGAACAAATGTCAGTTTGTAATTTAGGAACAACATGCAAAATTTCGTTCAAGGAAGTGAATTCTGATTTTTTTGCAGATGCATCAAATACAACGAGTAATGGCGTGGAGGAAGTTTCTTTTTCGACTGCGAAATGTGGAATATAATATTCATTTTTTATTTTAATAAAATCATCGACTTCATGATCTACCGGACAATAATCGACAAAGGATAATTGGTTTTGAGTCAGGTAATCTTCTATAATGGCGGCATATTTTTTATGAAATTCGGGATATTTCACAGCAAAATTTTCAAGCATGTGGTATCGCACTAGGGCTAAATGAAATGATTTGTATAAATTTCTGCCTTCACTTTTAAAAGGCAGCGCTACTACATATCGTCCATCTGGAGATCGCGTAGTAGTTAAAGTAAGATGGTTTTTGCATAAATCATTGTTAGAAGAGAGGAATATTTCGGAAATGTCTTCTAATTGTAAGAATTTATTCATTTGTAAATGAAGATTTGAATCTGAAACATTACATAAATTAGTAGAAATGCCGGTATTTTGAAATAAATTAGGAATGGAACCTAATATTAGATAACCCGACCGGGTTTCTAGGGCCACAAGTGATCCTTTGTCATTTTTAACCTGATTGGTGCCAAGAATTTTGCCGAAAACATTGCAACCCAAAATTCCGTCGACCTCCTGGGGTGTATGAAAGTTAGGATCCGCTAAAGGATAATTTAGAAATGTTTTGATGGATGAAATCGGAATGGAAATTTATGGTTGCTTTTCCACTATTTCATGCACTACGTATGCACAGACCGATAACTGATAAGAATCGATTGAAGATTTCAAAGTGAAATTAACTAGTCCGATAACTTTATGTGACGAAGTGCCTAACCCGATCACTTGGGTTGATATTGGAAGAATTTGTAAATCAGCCTTTTTGCACCAAGTTAATGTCACAAAGTTTCTATCGCTTCACGAATCAATAATTGTACGTAATGAAATGTTTTCTTTTCTAGTATTAACTTTTACTACTGCTGTCGGCAATATGGTAATTTGATATGCGATTTTGTTTTGATTAAATACGCATATATCCGTACTATTTGATTTGGTGTTAGAAAGATTATTTTGATCCGTACTCGCAAAATTGTTGCTAGTATGCAATAACGAGTGATGTCGTTCGTTACATAATAAACAGGTTTTATTAGATAGCTAATCATTGATCAGCTCGATCGTAATTAATAGTTTGATATAAATTTTATATGGATTGTAATAATCAATTTTAAATTATAAATTAGTGCCAAAAACATCAACGGTGCCTCTTAAAAATCATATTCTTGATCAGCTAAATTAATTAAATCCATTATAATTTGTTTATGTAAGCGTAATCGATGGCCCTTGAATATAGATACTTTGTTTCTCGTTATTAAAAATAGGTTTTTGTATTCAAATGAAAAAAATTTGATAGCTTTTTGTTTTACATACAAAAATAAAAACGATTGTATGATTCGAACCTGGTATAATAAGATGTTCCATTAATGCAAGTCTGCCGCACTATCCACTACGCCACCAAAAGTACGGAAATGATCAGCTTTAGCGCATATCTCGCTTTATACACAGGGTATACTATTATCTTGATTATGTTATTTGCAGGCAAATATTGGTAGACTCTGGACTCTGAGACTCATCGAGAACTTGGCGAGATTGGCGCAGAAGATATTTGATGTGCTCGAAATGTTCCCGGATTGTGGCTGATGTCGAAGTGGAAAGGCAAAAAGAAGAAGAAGGATCTTTGGAAAACCGAAGATTGTGGTGATAAAAAGTCTTTAGTGTTAAAGCAGCAATTGAGAAACTTATACCAAGGTCAAATTACGATACTGGATTCAGCTGCAGGAAGAACAGAAGGTAACAAAGATTTACCTAGGGATATTCCCAGGAAATCTTTAGAAATAAATTTAAATAATGTAGACCCTACCCAAAACATAATGGAAGAAACCACAAGTACTATTTCTTGTGCAAATAGTTTCGAATCCTTAACAGACAGAGATGACATGGACATGGACGATTTTCAAACAGTGACAAACAAAAAACGAAGGAGAAATTCAAACAATAATAACAGTAATGAAGAGGCTCCCATCAAAAATGTTTCTACAAAAATTCCACCTATCATTATCAGAAGCACAATTGATCTTAAAACTATTAAGTACGTAAAAGACGCTACTAAAATATCATTTACTCTTGAATACATTAATCCATACAGACATAAACTTTATACTACCAATATAAAAGATCATGAAATTATTAAAAACAAACTTAAAGAATTAAAACTTCAATTTTATACTCCTTACTCCACCAGTAACAATTTCTCCAAAAAAATTACTATTACTGGACTGAACCCACACATTACAGATGCGGAAGTTCATGACTATCTCATCGAAAACAACATACTAGTTAAGAAAGTTATTCAACTCAAGAAAAAACATTCGGATGGACACACAATCAAACTACCTATCTACATAATAATACTGGATAACAGTCAGGATATGAATAATCTAAAAAAGGTGAACAACATCAACGGCCATCTTTTTAAATGGGAGAAGTATAAACCACCGGATGTTAAACAATGCAGAAAGTGCCAAACAGTAGGTCACACCTCTTACAACTGTAACTTGAAATACAGATGCGTAAAATGTACTGAAGACCACTTACCAGGACAGTGTAAAAAATCTAGCAATGAACCAGCAGAGTGCATCAACTGTAGAGAAAAACACCCTGCGAACTTTTCGCGTTGTGAATACTTGCTCAAGTACAAGGAGCAAAAGAAGAATAAATTTGCAAATTCACCTTATGCGTCGAGGACATATTCTGCTGTCATCTCAGAGGCAAAAGAACAATGCAAATCCAGACCCCAAAATCCAGCTGTAAACTCTTTGGCAGAACCGGATTTTAGCACGACAGAAGGGATATTAAATGCAGCGAAACATATAAAATCAGCATTTGAAGATCCAGAAGTGGCAACAATATTTAAGGAATTATACACATTATCTACAGCTCTCAAGACAGCAAAGACCTATAGTGAAAAATATCATTTAATACTTAACTCATTAAAATTATAGCCTTGAACCAAACCTATAACATTAATGTAATTTACTTTAATGCAAATGGCATCAAGAAAAATCGAGCTGAACTTATTGAATTACTTGAAACTAAGAACATTGATATAGTCCTTTTAAATGAGAAACATTTACAAAAGAAAGATACTTTTTATATTAAAAATTACAAAGTGTATAGAACAGATAGAGAAAACTCTTCATGGGGAGGTACAGCCATTCTTGTCAGGCGTTGCATTAAGCATGAGCAACTCAACTTACCAGAACTGAAGTACACTGAAGCGACTGCCATAAATATATTTACTGAAAATTCTAAACTGACAATAATATCTATTTATGTTCCATGCAACAAATTATTACTACGTGACATCAAATCACTCATTAATGTTAGCAATAAAGTGCTTATAGCTGGTGACTTCAACGCTCAACATGCAATGTGGAAATGCAGAGGAAATAATAGCAGTGGTAAAAAACTATACAAATATATTAATAATACAGTGAACAATGTTCAGCTGCATTACCCAGATACTCCAACTAGATTTTCGCAATGTGTGCATCATAACAATAGTACTATTGACCTGGCTTTAACAAAAAATGTACATATAACAACTCAACCGACATCTCTGCCATATTTAAACTCGGATCATAATCCAGTATTCATACAGATAAATAGAAAATTAACCATCTATGAGTCTGACAATATAAAGTACTTAAACTACGCAGAAGCCAATTGGATACTATTTAAAAAATTAATAAACTTAAACATCGATCATAGAATGCAAATAATTGAAAAAGAAGATCTAGATAGAGCAATTGAACACTTAACAAGCACAATAAATTACACTATTGAATTAACTATTCCTTCTAGAAATCCACAACAATATACTGCTGACAGCTTACCACAAGATATAATAAATAAATTAAAATTCAAAAATCAAGTCAAAAAACTTTGGCAAGTTTCCGGTAATCAACACCTGAAATCCCATGTAAATAAACTAACAAAAATAATCAAGGAAGAAATATGGGAATATCGTAACAAATGCTGGGCTGATAAATTGAACAAAATTAACACATATCCGAATAATATTTGGCCAACTATGAAGCGCATCACAAAGCGACTTCCACAAATACCTGCCCTAGTTTGCGATACGGGGATGGCCTTGACAGAAATTCAGAAAGCCGAAGCACTAGCTAAACAATTTGAAAATAATTATCGATTAAATTCCGACAGTCAAAACACCTTATTTTCCTAGAAAGTAGAAAATGTAGTACAATCATTCATCTCTAAAACTGCTCACTGTAGATCAAAGACTAAAATTGTTACTGTCAAGGAAATAATAGACACATTAAAAACTCTCAAAAACAATAAAGCTCCAGGTCCCGATGGGTTGCAAAACATCATAATTAAAAACTTGCCGCATAAAGCGTTGATACTTCTAACAAGAGTAATAAATCAAATACTGATTTTGGGCTATTTTCCAGCTCAATGGAAGAGTTCAATCATGATGCCATTACACAAACCCGGTAAAATAAACAATATACCAGCAAACTATCGTCCAATTGCACTACTCAGCACAATGAGTAAAGTGGCAGAAAAGGTCGTACAAACCAGGGTCAACAAACATATAGAAAAATTAAATATTATACCAAACTTTCAATTTGGGTTTAAAAAAGGACATTCTACAATGCATCCACTATCTGTGCTGGTAGAAAAAGCCATTACTAACTTTAACAAACGTAATCATACAGGACTAGTGTTACTTGACATTGAGAAAGCTTTGACACAATTTGGAGCACAGGATTAATCTATAAACTAATTATTTTAAAATTCCCAAAGTACATAATTAAATTTATCATATCATATCTCAGTGATCGAAATTTTCAAGTGAAAATTGGTAATGTACTTTCAAATCCAAAAATGGTTACTGCAGGGGTACCTCAAGGATCTATACTTGGACCTACACTGTTCAACTTATATATTTATGATATTCCAGTTTCCCCCAAAACGGACATGCTGATATTTGCAGACGACACGGCAATCCTAAGCTTATCAAGATCAGTTACTTTAATAATAGAGAGAATTCAACAACATATAAACGAGATCATAAACTACACGAAATTGTGGCGCCTTAAAATTAATGCCCAAAAATCCGAGGCAATAATTCTCTCTAAATGTAATAAAAGAAGTATTCCATATAACAATTTACAAGTAACAAATATACCAATCGAATGGAAAAACAGTGTCAAATACTTGGGTGTCACACTGGACCAAAAATTAACCTTCACAAAACACATTAAAAATAAATTAAGTAGTGCATACGGGGCAATGAACGCACTAAAATCACTACTACATCGAAACAGTGTTCTGAACTCAAAAAATAAGAGGACAATATATCTCACATTAATAAGACCGATAATCACCTACGCGGCACAAATTTGGGTCACTACATGTAAAAGTAATATTCATAAACTGCAAATGTTACAAAATAAAGTATTACGATTAATACTAAATGAGCAGAGAGATCCAATTACGAAACACTACAAATCTAATAAGTATCTTCATGAAAAGTCCAATCTGCAACCTTTTAAAGAGACCATACTCAACATGACGGCGAAATTCTTCGAAAATTGCAAACATAGTCCAAATCCAATCATAAAAAGCCTAGGAAGAATCACACCAGACATGATATGGTATGGCAAATACGCTTTGCCAAACCACCTGATAGAGCAGTAGTATTTGGAAAAGATATAGTTACACTTATTCATAATAATATATTTTAGTTAGTATTAAGCTTTAGTGTTATCTTAGTTGTAAGTTATAATTGAACGAATAGTGTTTTTTTTGTTTTCCTTTTTTCACTTATTGTCAACATTATTGATATTGATATGTAACTAGATTATTAAAATTTCCTTAAATACCATCCATAAATTGCAAAAATACCTATTAGGTAGTAATGCATAAAATATTATACTGGACTTTGTAACATATATTGATAGAAATATAAAAATTTATCATCATCATCATCATTGCAGGCAAATACTCGAAATGAAAAGCAATAAATAAGTTAACTATTTGTAAAGAACGATTTGACATTGTATTTGGTTAACAAATTTAAAAAAAAGTTATGCAACATTATAACATTACAACATTTCTCTACATTCTTCTCATTATATCTTCTAAGATATAACAAAACCAAGAAAAAAACAAATTCAAACAAAATGATTATTGAAGAAAAATAAAACTTTGAATAAATTTGTTATATCTACTAGAATTCGTGTAACTTTATAAAATTTTATAAATATTTTGCTTTTGATTTTGACTATTCTGTTACAAATAAACATTTCAAGAATATGTGTTAATGCCGAACAAAAAAATCTAAAGCTTATATTTATATGTTTAGTTGACAAAACTAGTTTAGTGCTTAATATTAGCAAAAAAATCATAAATAAATTTGTATATAAAAATCATATAATAATTTAATGAACTTGCAGAAGTATAGCATAAAGTAAAATTGATCATTTCTTTTTTTACACATAACTTGAAAGTTATAACATATATCGGAACGTGCAATGTATCAAAAATCTTACAATGAATTATCCAACTATTGTGTGCACTAAATTTCTTAAAAATCAATTTATATTTAT